GATAGATTTCTCCAAGCAGTGTGTATCAAGAATAAACCCTCTTATACTATTTTTGTGTCAGATAACAACCAAGTTCTGACAGAAGTGCCTGAGTGATTAAGAGACTATAAAGATATTTTCTCAGAAGAAAAAGTAGCAGAGTTGCCAGAATTAATAAAGATTAGTCATCTGATTATTCTTAAAGACAGCTACAAGCCTCTGTACATGCTAATCTATAAACTATTGCTCAAGCAGATGGAGATTCTATAAGAGTATATCAAGAACAAGTTATGCAAGAGTTGGATATATTTATTATAAAGTCTGACAGAGACTTCAGTATTATTTGCATTCAAGACTGATGGAGAACTCAGACTTTGTGTTAATTATTATAGTCTTAATACAATTATGATGAAGGACTGTTACTCTTTGCTGTTGATAGACAAGATGTTAAGCTGGTTAGTGGAAGCATGCTACTTTTTCAAGATAGACCTACATGATATCTACTACTGGATTAGAATTAAAGAAGAAGATGAATGGAAGATCACATTTTATACAAAGTTTGAGAGTTTTGAGTATCTTGTCATATCTTTTGAGTTGTCAAATATACCTGTAACCTTTCAGTCCTATATTAATAGGGTGCTGGCAGGCCTGATTAATGTATGCTGTATAGTTTACCTAGATAATATTCTTATCTTCTTGATCTCAGAGAAGAAGTATGAGAAGCATATTAAATTAGTTATGGAGTGTCTAAGAGAATTCTAGTTGTTTGCAAAGCTTGCTAAGTGTGCTTTCAAAAAATAAACAATCTTATATCTTGAATATATTATTGATACTGAGAGTATTAAGATGAACTCAAAGCAGATACAGATGATCATGAAGTGGCTCTTGCCATAAAGTTTTTATAATATTCAGATATTTCTAGGTTTTGTGAACTTTTATTAGAGATTCATATAAAAGTACTCAGTTATTATGATGCTGTTGACAGATCTCTTAAAAGACAGTAAAAATAAGTAAAAGAAGAGACCATTTCTTCTGACATCTGCTGTCAGAAAAGCATTTCACATATTAAAAGCAGTCTTCTCTGAAGAACCTGTCATCTGTCATTATGATTCAGAATGTAGAATATATCTGAAAACAGATACTTCAGAATATGCTGCAGGTATAATATTGCTACAGCTGTTCAATAATAAATGATATTTAGTTGTCTACTAATTATTCAAGTTTGACCAGATCCAACAAGTCTATAGCATACTGAATAAGAAAATGTTGGCCATTATCTAAGTATTTATTTATTGATGGCAGTACTTAAAAGAAATGAAGTATTCTGTAGAGATTATTATAAATCATGCAAATCTTCATTCATTTATGAAGTTCATAAACAAGATGGCATAATGATAACATGTAAGATGGATAGAGATTCTTGAGATATATGACTTTAAGATTCTCTATCACTCTGAGAAGCATAATTCAGCTGATGCATTATCATAAAGACCAGATTATGTTAAACTAGAAGAAGATATTAGTCTGCCAATATATACACTCAAATGATGTTATGTAGATGGTATTCCAGAGTGGAACTTATTTGAAGAAACTTTCTTTAATGAAGAAGATATCTAAGTATGTACTGCTTGTGCTGTTCAAAGCAGTGAAGTAGAGATGGTACAGAAGAGATCTGATAACATCAAGATAGTTAAGTCAGTCCAGAGACCACCAGCCAGAGATACTGAGAAGGCTCAACAAAGAAATTACAGAAGATTCTGAATTCTCTATATGTATGTAAACACAGTAACAAAAGACAAAAAGACCTATAATAAACTAACTGTAAGTGTGTTAAATTTGCTGCTAGAAGTACAGAAAGATAATTTCTCTGTACAAGCAAGATTTGCTAAGGCAGAATCTCAACAGTCAGAGTAGAAAATAGACAAACAAGATCTTTTAACAAAAAGTGGCAGGATCTACATTTCTAATAATCTGACTCTAAGGCAGGAACTACTAAGTTCATCATGATGACTTATTTACAGATTACTTTGACATGGTGAAGATGTTTGTCTTGCTCTAGTGAAAATACAATTGGCAATTAATAAGATAAGATATTCAGATATACATATGTAAATACCAAACCTGCTAACAAGAGAAGACTCCAACACACAAACTATATAAATTGCTTGCATTATTGCCAACACTCAGTAGTCTCTAATATTCAATATCTATAGACTTTATAATGGATCTCTCTCTGAGTGAAGAGAAGAGAAATTCATACAATGCAGTTCTAGTTGTTGTAAATTAATTTACAAAGCTTGCACATTTTCTTGCATGTAGAAAGAAGATTGATATGCCAGAGATAGTAAATCTTCTGTTCAGAAGAGTGTTTAAAGACTTCAGATTTTTAAACAATATTGTTTTGAACCAGGGATCTGTTTTCACAAGTAAATACTGGTCAGAGCTATATTTTCACATGAAAGTTAGACAAAAACTTAGTACAGTGTTCCATCCACAAACACACAGCCAAACAGAGATACTGAACAAGATTTTGAAGAGATATCTTTATATCTATTATAGTTATAGACAAGACAATTAGAAGAAGTGGCTTGTGTATGCAGAATTTGCATATAACAGATCAGAACACTCTGCAATACACATGTTTCTGTTTAAAGTAATGTATGACTTTGAATCTAGAGAACCAGATAAGATTTAGAAGTCAGTCAATAATAATAATAATGTACAGACAACATCTGATAAGAGACTGAGAATAATCTCTGTATTAAGAAATAGTCTGGTAAAACATTTAATGAAAGTAAAAGAAAATCAAGCACAGTTCTATAATTAAAGATATTAAGATAAAGTATATGCATCTGGTAATAAAGTAATATTATTATCAAGAAATCTACAAACAATATATTCTTGCAAGAAGTTAGATAATAAGTACTACAGACCTTTCTCAGTAATAAAGACTATAGAAAATAATACATATTGACTGAAGCTTTCTCTAAGCTATCAGATTCACAATATTTTCCATGTCTCATTGCTGGAACCATACTGCACAAGAATGAATGAGACACCAACATATTCTCTCACAGTACTAGTGAATGACCATTATGAGTGGAAAGTAGATGAAATCTTGGATGACAAAGTATGCTATTGTAAGAAATATTACCTAGTAAAATAGAAGGGATTCCCTATTGAGAAATTGATGTGAGAATCTGAGAAAAACCTTGAAAATGCACAAGAAGTTCTTAAGAATTATCTATAAAAAAAGTGAAGTCACTCTAAGACAAATGAATATACATACAAAAAGAAGACTAGACATACTAAAGACTATCACACATAATGAAATCAAATAACTAGCAATAAGAAGGGGTATCATGAGAGTGCCTGAAATATAACTGTAATGAAGATGAACTAGCCAAAGATGAATATAGTTCTGGAGTTGCTGAAACTGATGATACAATAATAAGTAGTATTACAATGAAAGTAGACTTAACAGATAAAGAATCACAAGAAGAATAAATTATGTCTATAATACTCTGGAAACCAGAGAAGACAATATTAGCCAGACAGTTAATGAAAAACATAAGATTAATCTAGATAAAGATTAGTCTAATGACAAGAGAAAATAGTAAAGAAAATCTACAAGACTGCTTTCTGTAACACTTTAAAGAGCTTTAGCTTCATTCATTAAACAAGTAATGAAATAATCAAGTGAAACTTGAATATTTCTGATTTCATTTTCTACCTGAGACAGAATAGTATAAACTGGGGTTGTTGAACAAAGAAGCTCAGACAGACTGTTTCTAATAGATTCTGTTTTGAACATGAGGTTCATAATTTTAATCTCACAATATAATACAGAATGATAGTGTTTTATAGAAGATTCTTCAAGACAAGAAGTAGCCTGGTGATAATAGTATTTGACAGCTCCAGAGTTAAGTCCACAAAACTCTTGCATAAGTACACTCATGCACTTTATGTTGTATGAGTGATGTGAATCAGCTATATTGAAACTATAGTATTCTTCTCAAAGTTGCAAGAGCTGATGAACTAGTTTGATGGTGGATTCTGGAATCTACAACCATGTCAGAATAACAAGAATAGACAAAGATATATTTACATCACAACAGATACAGATTTGATATTCTAAACAATGAGAATAAGATTTCTTCTCAGTGTCCCATAAATAAGGCTTGCTTTCATTCAGGTGATTTGTGAACATTAAGTAAATGCAGACAGAGTATAGAAGAGTGTCTTCTTTATCATATGTAATAGAGTTTTTTGATAATAATATTGTGATAAGTTATAAAACAAATAAGAAATGACATCTGAGCTTAAACAAAGCAGAAGAAAAAGAAGAAAGAAAAAAGCCAGAAACTCTCTATTTATACTCACATTATAATGTACTAAAGTTACTAGTTTCATGACTTGTTGATAGATAATATAATAATGAACAACAGACAACATAGCAACCAGACAAGCAAATAAACAAAGAAATGAGTATATGATAAAACACTGAATGTTTATAATAAAATAATTACTGTTCTATAATAAAGAATGTCTACTGCAACTGGTGGCAATATGCATGCAGGATATCTATATAGACAAGCAGTAGTAATGCAGAAGCTTGCATATTCAAGAATCTATAATACTCCACCAATGATAGAGAAGCTATAATAATGTACAAAAAACCACTTCAGTAGCTCTATACCTCAGAGTCTGAGGTCTCTAGGGGGGGAAATAGTGTTACAAATGTAGACTTAGATCAACCAAGTATTAAATAATGTTGGGTATTCAGAGGTATTCACATGACCCCAACTCTGAATATATAAGAATCACATGATTTGCATGAATTGTGGGAACTCCAGCATTCAGTCTCTGAATGAGAGAATCTCTATATTCTATGCATGACTCTCTTCCATCAGTTGTGAGCATTGTATCTGCTTAGCTCTTTTGTACCTCTAATTCTGGGAAAACCTACATGACCTACAACCAGTTCTCCTAACACATTATTGAAACTGTACCATATAAGAATGAGTGAAACACCAACATATTCTTCTGCAGTACTGGTAGACAACCATCATGAGTGGAAAGTAAACAAAATCTTGAACAACAAAGCATGCTACTGCAAGAGATATTACCTAGTGAAGTGGAAAGAATTCTCTATTGAGAAATTAATGTGGGAATCTGAGAAAAATCTCAAAAATACACAAGAAACTCTTAAGAATTACCTAAAGAAAAGACAAAATTACAAGAAGACAAACAAATCTACATACAGAAAGAAAGATAAATGTGACACAAAACAAACATAAAGACCACAACATATCTACAAAATCAAGAATTTAACAGCAAGAAGATGTACTGCAAGAGTGCCTAAAATACAGTCATAACAGTAGTAAATCAGCTATAGATAAGCAAGACTTGGAAGTTGCAGATATGTTTGATATAACAACAGACAGAACAATAATGGAAAATACAATTACAGAGAAAGACATTACAGACAAAAAGGTATAAAGAGAATAAAGTATTTCTACAACATCTCAAAAACCAGAAAAAACAATATCAGTTAAATAATCAATAGAAGACATGAGATTGGCCTAAGCAGAAGTTAGTCTGAGAACAAGTAAGATAATACAGAAGATCTACAAGACCAGTTTCCATGCTGTCTCAAAAAGCTTTAATTTCACTTGTCAAACAAGTTATAAGATAATCAAGCAAGACTCAGATATTTGCAACTTCATTTTCAACCTAAGAGAGAACAGTATAAACTGGGCTTAACAAACAAGAGAACTCAGACAGGTCATTTTTGATAGATTCTGTTTTGGACACAAGGTTCATGGTCTTGGCTACATGGTGTGAGGCAGAATGATAACATTTTATAGAAGATTCTTTGACAGCAGAAGTAGTCTGGCAGCAGTGATATTTAGCAGCTTCTGAGTCAAGCTTATGAAATTCACACATGAGTATACTCATGCACTTGATATTGTACAGACAATACAGATTAGCTGCACTAAAAGTATAATATTCTTCTCAAAGTTGCAAGAGCTGACAAACTAGTTTAATGGCAGATTCTGGAATCTATAGCCATGTTAGAACAACAAGAAGAACAGATAAAGATGCACTTATATTATAACAGATACAGATTTGATGTTCTAAACAATAAGAACAAGATTTCTTCTTGATATTTTATAGACAAGACTTATCTTCATTCAGATAGTCTGTAAACATCAAGTAAATACAGATAGAGTATGAAAGAGTGTCTTCTTTATCATGTGTAATAAGGTCTTTTGACAACAATATTGTGATGAGTTATAAAATAAATAAGAAACAACACCTGAGCCCAAACAAAGCAGAAGAAAAGAAGAAAGAAGAGAGCCAGAAACTCTTTATTTATACTTATACTACAATACACTAAAGTTACTAGTTCCATGACTTGTTGATAGACAACATGATAATAAATAACAGATAATATAGTAACTAGACAAGCAAACAAACAAGAAAACAAGTACATGACAAAATGCTGGATGTTTGTAATAAAATGATTACCATTTTATAACAAAAGATGTCTACTGCAACTGGCAGCAATACACATGCAGAATGTCTATATAGACAAGCAGTAGTAATACAGAAGCTTGCATGTCCAAGAATTTACAATGCTTTACTAATGACAGAGAAGCTGCAACAACATATAAAAAACCACTTCAGTGGCCCTATGCCTCAGAGTCTGGGAAGGGGGATAGTGTTACAAATATAGATCTAGACCAACCAAGCATTGAATGATATCAGATGTTCAGAGGTATTTACATAACTTCAACTCTGAACATATAAGGATCACATGATTTGCATGAATTGTGAAAACCCCAGCATTCAGTCTTCTAGTTAGAGAACCTCTATATTCTACACACAACTTCCTTTTATCAATTGTAGGCATTGTACCTACTTAGCTCTTTTGTACCTCTAACTCTGGGAAAATCTACATGACCTATGACTGGTTCTCCTAATATTAATGTAGATTATTAGTAGCAGGCCAGATTCTTTATTTATAAATACACATGAATCTGTATTCTTTAGTGGCTTTAAACCAATCTCTATAAGAGCTTTTCTGAAAATCTTCTGTTAAAAATATTCTGCTTGCTTTAGTCTGTACAGAGCTTGCTGAAGTCTGCAGACCAAGCCTTTTCTTTCTATTTCAGTTGAAAAACTTATATAAATCTTATGGTACTTAAGTATGGTATGCAAATAGGCTGTAACTATATTAACTTGTTTGCAGTGCATATCTTCAACTGCTATTTTTATAAGTGTGAGCTTGATAGCTGATTTGGTGACTACAGATGTAGCAGTCTTGTCAAAATTGAGATCAGAGTGTTGGAAATTATCACATATAATTTATCTAACACAGAAAAAGACAATGTAGCTGTCAGCATTTACTTTCAAGTTAAAAACCCACTTGCCAGATAGAATCTTAGCTGTAGAACCTATTGAATTCCTCTTACCTAGCTTTTAAGTATTGACAGCTTCTAGCTTCTCAATTTGAGCTTCCATAGCACTCTTTCATTTGCTAGTGTATTTGCTAGTTATAGCTTCTTTATAGTTGTGTGGAACCTTAATTTTATAAGCTAGCAGATTGATTGTGAGGTAGAAAGTGTAATCTTCAGATGGTCTTGATGGTTTACCTTTAGTTGTATGGCTTGATACATATCTTGTAGACTGAGAGTTTGACTTTATTAGAGCTGTAGGTTTGAGATTTGTGCGTAGATGTATGTAGAAGCTCAATATTTACTTATTGTGTTGTTTCTGAGATCTCTGGGGTTTGCTCTTGTATATGCAGAAATTCAGTAATCTGCTGTTCTTGATCTGGTTCTTTCAATGTGTCTCTGAACATCTCTTTGTGAATTTGGCTTTCAATCAAGTTGTTGTCACTATCTTTATTATATAGAAGCTCTGGTGTTTCTTTGATAGTCTTATAGACTGGCTCTTGAAATCTCACCATGTGTTCAGATGCTGAAGGAGTCTTCTGAGATAATAGTGTTATTATAAATATGTTCATTCTTGTTTTTATATTTCACTAGATAACTGAGTTGAGCTCTGGGTTTTATTTTATATGTCTTATTATAGTTTTCTCTATTCTCTAATGAAATATGCATATATGCTATACATCTGTAAGCTTGTAGGTGCTATAGATTTAGCTTCTTTTTTTGAAAAAGCTTGTATGGTGATTCTCTGCCTCCAGGTGAAGAAATTCTATTTGTAATATAGCAAGCAGTTTGCAAGACTAGGTTCCAGATCTCTTGTGGAAGCTTTGCTTCTATAATTATAACACAGCTTATTTCTACTAAATAGCTGCTGATTTGTTCTGCTATACTGTTTTGCTCAGGTGTATATAGAGCAGTCACTTTGCATTTGATTCCATGGGCTGGGGTGAATTCCTTCCTAAATAGTGAAAATTTGGTGCCTCTATCCATCTATACAATATCTATGTAGAAACATAGCAGATTTCTAAGTCTCTTAACATGTTTCTGAAGAGTATATGAAGCTTCAGTCTTATTTTTGAGCAGTATAATCTATTTAAAGTGTGTGCAGTCATCTACAATTATTAAAGAGTATTTGAAGGCTTGAAAACTTGTTAGCTTTATGGTTTGAAGATCAATGTGAATTTTCTGTTCAGAAATTGTAGATTGAATCTGTGGTATTTGAGATATCTGCTGTTTTAATCTTTCTAGTGCATATGCTTTGCAATGGAAAGTATCTTGGCCTTCTATTTCAATTTCCTGGTGCTTTGCTGCTTTTTATGTGGTAGGGAATGTGCAGTGTCCTAGCTGTCTATAAAGAAGCTCTGGTGTGAGCTTTATAATAGTATATGTCTGTTGAATGACTTTCTCTTACTGATTAAGTAGCTCTGTCTTGAGAATTATAACATCATTACTTTTCTTAGTGTATTCTACTAGTTTGTGGTTCTTTCATGTTCACAGTATGTGGTCTACTTCTGTAAAGTAGAGATTCAACTTTTCAGTCAATTGGTTTGTGGAAAGCAAATTCATGCCTAATTTTAGATTATACTATGCATGTATATAGATCTTGTTGACAATGCCATCTTGAATAATACATCTAATGTGTACTATACTACTGCTCTTTATAGAAATGATTTCTCTGTTTGAAGCTCTGTACCAATATTCTGTATTAGAATCAAAGCTAGTAAAGTAGGCTTTATTGCAACAAATTAAGTGGCTGCAATATGTGTTAATAAGCTATGCTTTTAGACCAACAGCTCTTTCAGATACAGATGTCACCAGATCAGATCTGAATGCCATGCCAGTGAAGCTATTTTCAAATCTTATTATGAGATGATTTTCTTCTATATTATTTTTAGCATTTTCACTGGAATTTGGTTGCTGAGATTTGAATTGGCTCTGGCTTTTTTGTTCAGGATTTGTATGCTATCTTTCTTTAGGCCTTGGTCCTATTTATAAGTGTGGCTTTGGCTTCTATTCTTGATATCTCTTGTTGATAAAAAGGTGAGAGCATTGTTGTATGGCATGACCTGGAGTCTCACAATATTTACAGTTGTCATCTATTTTACTAGATATTTTTTTGCATAAGAATTTGACATGATTATTCTATAAGAGTTTCTTTTGTGGAGCATATTTCTGTATAATTTGCTTGTTGAAGGTGATCTCTCTGAATTTGATTTATCTAGCTATATAAATTTTGCTTGAATCTTCCACGTATTTCTTAGCCTCCGGCATAAGATTTCTCATATTCTTGTATGCTATGTCACTTGGATTTGTATTTTGAACTATTGATAGCACATTATCCATCTAGTTCTTATTAATCACTCATACACCCTCAATTATCTTGTTAATTGCTAGGAAAGAATGTAATAGATGAGGAGCTCACAATGCTCTCTGGTATTATTCAAGCAGCATATCAAGATATTGTGTAACTGATCTATAGTCATGTTGATATGTGTAGAAATAATTCTCTGCTACATGAATACATATATTTTTATCAGGCTTTAGAAAGAGCTGCTTTGTGCAGAATATCATAAGAGCAGCGTCATCAATACTGCCTCCATTGTGCTAATTAATCTGATCTTGAGTATCATCTTCCATGCTTAAGCTGAGCCATGTAGCAAAGAATGTTATAGCACTTCACCATTTGATTTATATATCTTTAGAAGCCTTTGTAAATGTATATCTACTAGGCTTTTTTGCAGATGTGTCTTTTTTCTTTAAAGATTTCTTCTCTTTGAGTTTTGTCTAATATATTGAGAGATGTATCTCTGTTATCTGTGTTATTTGCTGGTGTTTCACTAGTAATAGCTTTACTACTATCAGTATTTTTGTTGTCATTCTCTATTTTTATGTTGGTATTCATCTCTATTAAGTCTGCAATATGAGATGTTGATGTGATTTATCTTGTGAGTCTTGTCAGTATTATACTAATATAGGCAATTGTATATTGGAGTGTTTAGAATGTTAGAGAAACTGATTATATGAGTTTTCTCTGGATTTAAA